TCCCCTCCCCACCACTCTCACGATCACAACGTACACTGCAGGCACAATACTCGGCGGCTTCGTACTGCGCTCGTGGCGAGATCGAGTCGTGGAGCTGCAAAGCGTGCGCGGGCAATACGACGGGCTTTGTGATGACCAAGTACTTTGTTGATGAGAAGACCAAGACCGAGGCTTACGTCGGGTACCGGGCGGCGTCCAAGACCATTGTGGTGGCCTTTGAGGGCTCGCACAACACACAGAACTGGATCGTCAACCTGCAGTTCCTCAAGGCCGACTTTGATTATCCGGGCGCCGAGCACGCCCGCGTTCACGGCGGCTTTTACAAGGCGTACAAGAACATCCAGGTCGATGTGGAGAACGACGTCGGCGCGCTTGTGGACCAGTTCCCGGACTACCAGGTGTACGTGACGGGCCACTCGCTGGGCGGCGCACTCGCCGCCTTTGCCGCCCTCGACATCACCGTCAACCGGCCGCACGTCCCGGTCAACGTCTACACCTTTGGCTCGCCGCGCGTCGGCAACGACGCCTTCCAGCTCTACTTCCAGGCCCAGATCAGCAACTCAATCCGGGTTGTCAACAAGGCCGACATTGTGCCGCACCTCCCGCCGCGGGCGTTTAACTTTCACCACGTTCCTCGCGAGGTCTGGGTCGAAAAGTCCGGCGTCATCGTCGTCTGCAACGGCTCGGGCGAAGACCCGCACTGCTCCGACTCGCTCCGTACCCCGTGGTCGACTAAGGATCACCTCGAGTACCTCGGCGTGGTCCAGGGCCAGGGCGCATGCTAGTTTGTCGACTTTTCATCCACCCACGCTCTCACCCACATCAGCCCCGATGTAACACAACTCATTCTTCACTTGTCCTTTGTCTTGGCCTTGGCCTTGGACTTGGACTTTGACCGTGACTTGTCCTTGTCCTTGTCCTTGTCGCGCGACTTGTACTTGGCCTTGGCCTTGGACTTGTCGCGCGACTTGGCCTTGTCCTTGGACTTGGCCTTCTCGCGGCCGGCGATCGACGACCGTGATGACGAGGCTTCGGGCAGCTCGTCCTCATCTTCGTCGGGAACGACTGGAACCGAGGGCGGCAGGATGGCAGTGGTGGGCGAGGCCGGCTCGTCCGGGTGGCGTGGAGGAAGGTTGCGGTTGCGGCGGCGGGTGCCGATGGAGATGGGATTGGGGACTGGGACGGCATTGCCGAGCGCGCCCTCCTCTTGCGACGAGTTGAGGTCGTCCATGGAGCGGTGCTGCTCGAGAGCGTGGAGGACGTCGCGGTCCTGCGGAAGGAGCGACTTGCGGCGGAGGCGCACGTTCTGCGGGGTGGCCTGGATGTTGGGCACCGCTTCGAGGATGTCGACAATGCCCTCGGCGTCGACGTCGGTCGACTCTGCGCGCGAGTGGCGGCGGAGGTGTGCGAGCGGGGCGAGGGCGGTGGCGTCGTCGATGCCATCAAACGCCGGCGGCGCCTCGCCGTTGTCGCGGGCGGCGCGGTTCTTGCGGGCAAGCTCCTCAATCCGGGCCCAGCGCTCCTCGTTGGCCTTGCGGGCCTTGCGGGCCTTGACCCGCTCCTGCTTGTAGTTGCGGGTGCACTCGTCAAAGAACGTCGGGTTGAGGTCCATGAACAGCTTGAGACAGTTGTAGATGAGCGAGTGAATGGTCTTGTTCCAGTGGCCCTTTGAGTTGCGGTAGAGGGCACCAAAGACGATGGGCAGGATGGTGCGGTAGTTTTCGGCCATGAGGCCAACAATGTAGTCGTTCTTCCACAGCCAGAGCGCCCGCTCGGCAACTTGGAACTGCGGCGAGTCGATGCACTTGGCGAGGCGCTCAAAGAGCATCGACTGGACGTTGACAAACTCGGCCGGCTCGATGACGTCGAGGATCTCCTCGACCTCGGAGAGGAACATGACCTCCTTTGGTGAGTTGGTCTTGGGCCAGAACCGGAGGAGGCCAGAAACGACCGTCGCCGTCAGCTGCGGGTCCTTCTCCAGGAACTGGACGACGCAGTACGCGAGCTGCGGGTGATAGAGCGAGAGCGACTGCGGCTTGTGCAGCGGAATGAGGACCCGCCGCAGGAACGTGATGTGCTCCGACTTGAGCGGGAGGCCAAAGCCGTTGATGATCGAGCCGAGGATTTCCAGCAGCTCTGCCACGCCGTTGTGTCGTTGCGTCTCGTACACAAAGGTGAAGAAGATGTTGTTGATTGCCGTCCGGATAAACGACCGCATGGTGAGGAACTTGCCGTAGATGCGGTGCAAAATGGTCTTGAGAAAGTCGCGCTCGCGCGGGTCCTCCGTATCAAACAGCTCGAGCAGCTCGGATACAAACGACGGGGTGATGTACTTTTTGGCCACGTCCAGATTAAACTCGCCCGACTCGAGGATCCGGAGGAAGAGCTCGTACACAACCTGCACATGCGGCCACGCAGCCTCCAGAATAGGCTCGTCTTCCTCAGGGTCGTACGCGTCGCCGTTCGGGTTGATGTGCGGCGGCAGCGTTCGGCACAGGTTTGCCCGCAGCATCACCATGAGGTCAGGGAAAATGTGCTCCGAAATAATGCCCGACACCGTCGTCACGCAGTCCACGAGCTCGTTGAGCGCAGTCAGCTTGATCTCCTTTGACTTGAGGTCTTTGCTCGGGTCCAAAAAGTTGTACAGCACCGAGGCCTGTCGCAGCTTGAGGAGGAACAGATCAAGCATGTCGTCCTCAGACTCGGCCTCAAACAGCGACGGCAGCTCCTCCAGCTCCTCTGCCCTGGCCTCGGGAGAGGTGAACCGCGACTGCGACGTTCGCTTCTTCAGCGCCCGTCCCAGCGGCGCCATCGGTGCTCCATCCGCCAGCGCGGGATCAGATGCAGACGTAACCCTCGCCTCACTGCCGGGGTTAGCATCGCTCCCTCCGCCACTCCGCGAGCTCTTCGACTTGGACTTGGACTTGGACTTGGACTTGGACTTGGACTTGGATTTATCCTTGTCCTTGTCCTTGTCTTTGCGCGATGGCTTGTCCGCTGCCCACCAACCAGCCAGCCAGCCAGCCAGCCAACCGAGACCAAACCCCAACAATACGGCATACCACACCAGTGAGTTCAGCTCCCGTCCTCCCCTTCTCCCCCTTCTCCCCTTCTCCCCTTCTCTCCCCCTCTTATCCCCCCGCCATC